ATACTCTGTGCTAACAGGAGTGCTTTCCTTCTTTTCCTATTCGCACCCCTCTTCGGTTTGCAATCCCTCTTTTGAGACGGCAATCTAACTACGACATCTCCCCCTTCCCTTGCCTTCTTCCATAAGCGCCCCCCCCACCATGTAGCCCTGTCCAATTTCCAAATCCATGGCTCCTTTTTTTTTCATTAACCATGTGCACATGCATTTGTTTATACGTTCATTCTAAATGTAACCCGCTGAGTTCAAATAATGCTACTCGTATTTATGTTTTCTGGGTTTTTTTTTTTTTTTGGCACTGGACAATCAGTCAGTGTATCCTTCCTCAAGGAGGAGCACCTCTGCCACTCCCGGGTTTACTCGGTTGCCTGTAGCTCATTGCTCAGGCTTGCGGCCTCATGGCTCTTCCTCATCCCTTGCTCAGCTCACGTTTGGCCAGTTGTGTCAGTGAGACTTCACAGGCATAGCGTCCGATGTTACGAGGAGGCACAGTCTCACAGGAAAGCCTAAGATCCACCGAGTCCTTATAACCATCTTTCCGTCCCCCAACAATGCTTCCTGAGTCTTAGGCGCTGGAGTGTTCTGCGCATGTATCCACCGAGACTAGGCTCCACAACGCTGCCTTCTCATCAGTTGTGGTTTTTCTGAGTAGTCCCCATCGGTCGCAAAGAGAAAATTTCTTTCTTCTTCTCACAATTCTTTATTGATTCTTTGGGAAATTTCGCATCGTGTACCCCAATCTCATTACCTTCCAATCCTTCCTTATCTGCCCCTTATGCTTGTTCCTACAAGATAAACCCCCACACACAATTAACTAAAAATAAGACAAAACAAAAAAAAAACCATACCTCACTCCTCCATCCTTCCAACATCTCTTCATTCATCCTACCGGCACTGGGAGCTACAATGTGTCACACAGTATACCTTTTTGTTCAGTCAAACCCCACCTGCAAAATATTCATCACAATGAGTCTTTGGTCTGGTTCAAGACCCTGGCACACCATCATCTCTGGACCCTCACGAAAACGGTTCTCAGAGATACTGTTGATGCTCCATATCATGGAGATCCCACTAATGTTACACAGAACCAATGCCTTCACTCACTCCAGTTGGTCATAGATGGGGTAGATGTCAGGGTGAGCCAATCTAATGCCTAGGATGTGGGTCTGGGTGGTAGCTGAGCTGGTCAGTCTGGGTCACAGAGACCACCCTTCTCAGGCAAGGGGTAGAGCCAGCTCTCATAGGCCCAAGATATCAGGCAGGGGGCAGCTTTCCCACACCTGTGGTAAGGGCTGGGGCCATCTCTCGGGTCCAGTTCTCCTGCTGTAGTGTCCAGTGAGGGTGAGAGCTAGCTATCTCTGGGCTAGTGAGGGATGGAGCTGCCTCAACATTGGCCTTGGACTTCAACAGACATGACTCCTATGACCCCTGTGGTAACACGGGCTATGGACATCATCACAGACTCCAGCGGCAGCAAGAACACAGACCTAGGCACGGCCTTGGCAGTGGCTCTGGTCTCCACTTCACCATAGCCATTGTGTCAGCACAGGTAACCCAGGTGAGTATGGCCATAACAGCGGAAAGGTCCTTGGACACCAATAGAGGAACAGGTGGCTGTTCAAACCCTGGGCATCCATACAGCCATCAGTGGTGACAGGAGCAACGGACATCAGCTCAGACCATAGCTTCTGCTGCACGATGGACCCAGACATGGCCCATAGCAGCATCCTGGACCTGGATGATACCATGGCCCCATGTGGCAGCACAGGCCATCCAGATTGACATGGCTCAGGTGGCAGCATGGCCCTCAGACACCAACATGGCCACGGGTTGCTGGCCAGACTCCAGGGATCTGTGTGGTCTTTGGTGGTACCATGGGCCATAGACAACTAGCATTGCATGTTACAATGTGGATGCACAAGTAACATGAAAATAAAAGACCCAGTGACTCATATTGGGGTTCAAGCTTCAAGCTGAAGATCAGAAAAGCAAAGCAGCTGGCCACTATATCTCACCTCTACTGAAAGGCGATCCTGACTCCTCAGACTGTAATCCCAGACTGTTATGCTCTCCTCAACTTGGCTGGAGAATCCTGAGACTTCAATGCCTTCCTATGCTCAGTGTGGCTGGAGAATGAGCTCTAAGATCCCGTTCCTGTCTTAAATACCTCCCTAATGCTGGGATTAAAGGAATGTGATCCTAGGTGCTGGGGTCAAAGGCATGAGATCTGTTACTCTTCATTCTTGTATAGGCCGTGGTGGCCTTGAACTAAGAGAGATCCATCTACCTCTTAATCCTGAGTCCTGGGATTAAAGGTTTGTATAACTACTACCTAATCTCTAAAGCTTTCTGAATCCTCAGGCAAGCTTTACTAAATTATAGATAATGTATCATCACACACATACCTTGTATTCCCTTTGTTCCTATTTTTGTCTTACTGCTCTAGCTAAGATTTTAACCACTATATTGAATAGGCTTGGAGACAGTAGTCACCCATGTCTTGTTTCTCAGCTTAGTGAGACTGATTTTTTTTCTTCATTTAGCACAATGTTGACTATAAGCATGATATACATAGCCTTTATTGTGTTTAGGTGTGCACCCACATATTACCTTATCATAAAATGATGTTGGGCTTTTGTCAAAGACAGGTTTTGTGATTTCTGTAGGTTTTGTGATTTCTGTCTCATGTCAATATGTGTGATTGATAACCTTTGTTGATTTCCATATGGTGACCTACTGAATCTGTGGAAGGAAGACAACTTAGTCATGATAAATGATCTTTTGATATGTCTTTGAATTAGATTTGCAGTATTTTATTAATAACTTTAAGAGTTTTGTGGCTAAGAGAAAGGGGTCTCTAAATTTTGCAGCTGATGCTGTTGTTGTTGTTGAATCTGGACATGGGTTGGTATGAGGGTTATACTGGCTTCATAAATAGTTTGAGAGGGACTGAGCAGTTGAAAGATGTGGTAGTTGAGGGGGTAAAGATAATGAATAAATGGTGTAATTATCTTTTAATTTTAAAAAAGAAAAAATGAAGTGTTTTTATTTTGGCAAAAACTTGAGTGATATCAGTATAAAGAATACTGATGATATTTTTCTATTTGGAAAGTCTGCAGTGAGGCCATCTGGTCCTGAGTGTTTTTGTATGGAGGGGTAGACTTACTTTTGTTAGACACTTACTACTGCTTCAGCCTCATTGCTGGCTCTGTTTAATCATTTACATATTTTGGTTTTATGTTTGGCTTCTATCTCAATGTTTACTCATTTCTTTCATATTTTTCTGTTTAGTGAAATAGAGGTTTAAAAATATGTCCTTATGTTCATTTTGGATTTTATTTATATCTTCTGTCATGTCTCCTTTTTGGTTTCCAATTTTATGAACTTCTCTCATTCCCATTAATTTGGCTAAAGGTTTGCATTTTTTCAAAGAATGAAATTGGTGTCATTTATTTCTCATATTTAAAAAGGGTTCTTTCTATAGCCATGCATGCATACAGCGTATTTTGATAAAATCCACTCACCGTTCCTTCCTTTCCAATGCCCCATTACACCCTAGCTCCTTTTCTTCAAAGTGTTACCTGTTACACTTATGTTTTTTAAAGTTTCTATTCCCTACTGAGTTCTCTTATTGCATGTGGAGTATAGGTAGCCTCTCGGAGCTCACTTCTCCAAACAAATGTGACTCTCCCTCCCCCATAAGCCATCAATGGTTAATAACTTCTTGGATAGGGGGTGAAAATTCATTTGAGCCTCTCCCATCCATGCTAGGATCTTGACTGGCCTTGATCTTCTGCAAATCTTATGCTTGTCATTCCAGCCACAATGAAACACTCAAGACAAAAAAAAAAAAAGATCAGACATATAGAAGCAGAGAATAAAATACGAGTTGAAGAGGATTCACTGAAAACTTGAAAGGAAAGGGAAAGGGAAGACAAAGATAAGGGGTAGAGTTTGGTAAATCCAACTGAAGGGAGAATGCTCTAGCCACTTGCACTGCTACAATCTAGCACGAGTATCTAGAAACTTCTAGATGTCTACAGGAAGACCTTGAGTAGACTCATAGAAAATTTAAATTTGAGTGTATTTCAACAACAATTGCACTGATCATGTCAATTCAGCGCATATCGTGTGCGTGTGAACAGAATTCAACATGTGCTCCAGAAAGAACAAATCTTATACCTCAGTCAAATAAAAGGTTTAAATAAAATTCAAAAGCAGAGCGATTTGGAAATCATCTTTGCCCCTACACCTTTTAATTAAAGTTGGTTCCCACAAAGGGTAGTGGAAGACACGGGTTGTGGGAAGCTGGGGTCAAATCTGCACAGACTAGTAATTCATTGTCCATTGAGGCTATAGGCTAAGGACAGCACTTACTGTTTGAGCTCATGCATACAAAACTGGGTGTGAATAGATGTGAAATTCATAAATGCACACATATATACACTATTTCTCCACACTTACAATGCCTATGGCAAAGTTCAGTGAATCAGACATTAAGGTCCAGTTTTAACAACAGGATGGTGTCTATTGCAGACTATATTGAAATGCCTCTCTTGGCATTCTTGTAGGCAGACTATACTGAAGTGCTTCTCTTGGCATTCTTGTGTGTGGAAGCGCTGAAGATTCTGTAAGTGTCTCCGAAACCACAGTCTTGTAACGACAGACATGGCGACCCTAATGTCTCTGACACAATAACTGGGAACCTAGTATAGGGTTGAGGTGCTGGACAATGGAGAGTCACAGCTCAGCCCTATGCAGTGGAGTAGCATATTGCACAATCACACTTCTCAGAGAAGAGAACAGAAATGTTCATAAAGTCTTTTGGAAAAAAGGTTGCTGGAATAAAGAACCTCGTAAGCAGACCATAACCAAAATGGAATAAAAACCACTCACTCTTCCTCCTGGAATGCCACCATCACACTCAACGCTGTCTTCAAGATAAATTGCATGTTCGGCTATAAAAAATAAATCACTTCACAAAACAGAGAGAAAACTAGAAATTACACTTGAACTTAATCTTTATAAAGACACACACCACTTGCATAACCATTAGAATTGAAAATTAAGTCGCTGCAGGAGTCATGAAGACACATTGGTTACTGTAGCCAGCAATGCTGAAATAGAGTGAGCAGGTCCCAGAATCAACATTGCAGGGTAGCTCTTCAGGAACTCGGCTGTTGAGCACATTCAGCAGTGGAAGGCACTCCGCTGGATACTTCTTCTGCCAAGTCCTCCCTTGTGACCACCAATGCTCAGAATATGTTGGGGAAGCTGGCGAATGAAGCAATCGCACAGTGGTTGTTTCGATCTTTAGCAATCTTCATGTAGCCGTTTATGCCCCATCCTTCACCCCAGCTGGAAGGAAACAAGTTTTTAATTTAGTAGAAAGATCAACGCATGATTGACTTCTTACAATAACTGGCAAGAGGCCAACCTAACAGAAGGATCAGAAAAAAGCCGAGGGTCTACTCCTGAGTACAAAGAGGTACCTCACACAGGATTGTGAAGACCATGGCAGAGAAAAGGTAGTTCAGTCCTAACTAAGGTGTCAGATTTTAGAAAAGCAATGATGCAAAATAATATTGAAACACCCCACAAAACAGTGATGGGACGGAAATGTTATGATAACATATTGTGAATATGTTGTTTATGGTAGAAGAGAGCTCAGAGGCTAAGGATTGGAAATCAGTGTAAAGAGCCATTTAAAAGCCAGATTAACATTGTAGTGTCCCCACAACAAGTTCTCAAGTCATGGACACAGGACATACCTGGAACAAGCTGGCTAACCAAACTAGACAGCAAACTCCTCCATCAGTGAGAGGCACTGCCTCAATATAGAACTTGAATAATGATTGAGAAACAACATCAGGCCTCTACACATGTGCAACACACAATTGACCCATTTCAATTATCTGTGAAGTGTGATTGTGACTTTTATGTGTCGTAGACATAAAAGCATGCTTGCATGTACATAACCCACTTACACGTACATGGGGAAATCAAAAGAGACTTTGTTCAACTTGAGTGGAGCTAATTTTCTAGGCTGAGAAGTCAAATATTAACTGCAAGGTGATAATCTCTTTGTGAATCCTCCGGAAGGGGCACCCGGTGCTTTTAAACATGGAACCATCTCTCCAGTCACCAGAATTTCAAATACAGATATTTTTTGGCAGTTTATACCTGTTCTTGATCAGCCAGTAGTTATTACCATCCGTTTCATTTCCCTCAAAGCCGTAGCCAACCACCAGAACTGCGTGATTGGTCACATAACTGCTGCAATTTGGCTCATGATAAATACCTGAGAGATAAAACAGAAGTTGATGTGAGATGCACGTGACAACTGAGAGTGACCACTGCCACCAACAATGGGAGGCATTTAAAGGATCCCCAAAATGATATAAGCTACAGACAGACTTAAGAGTTGAATAAATTGTTACTGAGAATTATATATATATATATATATATATATATATATATATATATATAGAGAGAGAGAGAGAGAGAGAGAGAGTTTCACAGAAAGCTGAAGAAATCAAATAAGCATGGATTTGTTGGCAAAAACTTGCCTAGGTGCTTATAAAATTGAGTAATTGGAATCTTTAATTTTTAAACTAGAAGCTCATGCCAAGTAAAACTCACTGAGTAGGACTTACTTAATTCAAGGAGGTTATTAATACTTTTGATTCAGGCGTCCAGTCTCCATAAAAATATCAAACACCCACCAAATTGAGGGCGGTTTTAAAATAAGCTAAACAATACATTTTATTAAATATGGTGTACTTGCTTGCACAAAAGGGTCATATAAATTGAAGATAGAACTCGGCGTTATCATGTGGGGAGGAAAATCCAGAAACCCAAACAGCACTTCATTTACACAGCATGGCATGGGGATGTCACCTTTTTTTTCATATCTAGAGGGAAATATACTTACCTCCGTTGTAGAACCTGAAAGAATCATGGGAAGCATCAACCGCAGCAGAGACAGGCCCAATCGTTGCTACAGCAACCATTAGGTAATCTTCATTTGCTGGGAGGGTCACAAATTCTGTGATATAAGCTCTAGAATTCTCAGGATTGTACCTGCAGGGTCCTTCCTTTAAAGGATAAAGAGATAAGAGGCTCAGTTACTTCCACTCCCCTCCTGGGCCATGTGTCAGAACCATAACCCTGCACTTGGCAGCTAAGCATGCCAATATCTGGACTTTTATAAGTCACCCCGGAAAGTGAAATGCTACTGGGAGATTTGGAACTGAAAAAAATCAACTCTCATGCCTTCAATGACACCTCGCAGGTCTTTAAGTCTGTAAGATATCATCGCAGGGAGATATATCCCTTAAATGTGGGATGGTTTGCATATTCTCTGTGTATGCACAGAAGCAGCAAACAGCTACAAGGAAACCATCACGTTAGAAACCTGTGCAATGACTGATGCTCTCTTGAGACCATTGATGGTGTGTGGCGATTCTTCCATCCAATGTGAGCTCTGAAGACAATGGATTATTGAGCAATTGCCCCTTGCCTGAAGCTGGCCAAAATGACAGCAGTGTAGATGATCCACTTACTTTTGCCTCATATGGGTAGGTTTCCTCAGCCTCCAGACCTCCATTGTGCAAGACATACTTGTAGGCACGGTATGCGTTACCCTGCATGCAGCCATTATTGCCTTGAGGTTTAGAGCAGTCCACTAGGTTCTGCACACTTAGAGTGGTCAGGTTGCCAGTTTTCCAGAACATCTGTCCCTCTATGGCTCCAGTTGCAGCAAAAGCCCAGCATGAGCCACACGGACCCTGAGCAGGGAAGTAAAGATTGTCAATTACACAAACAAATCAACCCCAGCAACAACACAGACAGGTAATCATTTATGGAAATGACGTGCTAGTAGTTGATAAGTGCCTAGGGAAAGATAGTACTCTCCTAGAGGACATGACTGCTGGTGGTTAGCGTGTGCCCCAGTCCATGGCCACGCGTACATGAACACATGAGTAGGACCTACAGCTTTCGTGGGTTATTAATGACAACGAAAGGAGAAATAAATCCCAGAGACAGATGTGGCAGAGGACAAGAGTTAGAAAAAAACAGTGTTATGTGTACGTGGTGAACTGCTAAGATAACTATCCATTGTACAAATGGGTGGAGCTTTCATAGAAGAAAAATGAGCTGCACATTTCTTCCTGCTCACAATACACACAGAGGCATCAAGTATTTAGTCTTCAAAGTGGTTTTAAGAACAAGGGCCATGTGCTGCTGTCTTACCTGTTTCCGCACAGGAGTCACGAAGCCTTTCTTTGTCCAATCCTCAGATTTGGGTAGATCATCAAGCAGAGTATTTGGCTCACTTTTCACCTTCGTGGCAGCTGGGACTGGGATGTCAGTCATCATGCTTCTGTATTCTTCAGCAGTCTTCAAGGAAAATGACATTAGTAAGGAACAAAGCAAAACCAAACAACAAACAAAGCAGCACAGAAAAACAAAACAGAAAGTCAAACAAAAAGACTCCACGTAAAAGACGGTGAGCAGCAACCCGTGTCACACTCACCATGTCACCAAAGGCATTCATTTCCATAGTGAAACCATGCCTTCCCTGGGCATCCTCACCATTGTGCATTTTGACCATCTTCATGTTTTCTTCCCATACTAGTCTCCTCCATAATTCTTCTTCCTGGAAATCAGCAATAACGAATGGCATTTCCTTGTAACTAAACTCTGGGAAGATCTGACCACACGGACGTGCTGCTGCGGGTGAACCGAGGTCAGTGAGAGGCAGCTACAGACACAATAGCCACATACTCTCCACATGCTGAGGGAAAGAGAATCTGGTCACCCTGTGCTCACCATGCCTGTGATTGGACAGTTTCTCAGCAAGGGGTGAGGTCTATGACCTCTAATGTGTCTACACACTTTCAACAGCAGCGACAGTTCACTCCAAGGTCCTTCCAGACAGTTTTCAGTTCACTAACCTGGCTGTATGATTTTTCGTATTTCGTTTTCCACACTTGCCATTCAGTGTCCAAACTGGGATCAAGTACTGGAGACGCCGAGGCCACTCCAAAGCACAGGATGGTCAGGAAGACAGCAGGAGTCATGTCTCAGGGACCTGGAGAGGCAAGAGGAATGAAGACGTGACCACGCCGATATTTTTTACTTACTCCTTCCTAAGAGTAATCCATCTGTGGTTGATAATATTCTTTGAGCCACTCTTCCAAATACTTTTTGAAAGATTGTAGCAAAGGCTTAGGACAGGTTTGAAACAAATCAACCGCTGGTAGTCATTAGAACCAATGCAAAATGAAGAACATATGCTCAGCATTGTAGTAATGAAACTTCAGGTGCACATCTTATTATTTAAGAAATACATATTGCCAGGCAGTGGTGGCACACGCCTTTAATCCCAGCACTCGGGAGGCAGCCGCAGGCGGATCTCTGTGAGTTCGAGGGTAGGCTGGACCGACAGCCTCCAAAACAATACAGAGAAACCCTGTCTCTTAAAACAAACAAAACAAAAAACAAACAAACAAACAAAAAGAAATACATCTTATTATTTAAGAAAGAGCTCCATACACATTGAGTACTAGAAGCAGAAAGACAAGCATGGACTTAGGATATCTAAGCAAAACACCTATTATGTGGTATCAGATCCAAATTTCAAGGTGAACCCCAAAACTGGTACCACATGACATTGCATCCCTTTCTAATATACAGTGAGCAGTGGGCTCGTCTTGATCCCTCCATTCTTGAATGAAAACTTTGTGAAATGTCTTCTATAAAGAACATGGGAAAGGCTAGGTGATGCTGGCGCACACCTTTAATCCCAGCACTCAGCAGGCAGAGGAAGGCGGATCTCTGTGAGTTCAAGGCCAAGCTGGTCTAAAGAGAGAGTTCCTGGACAGCCAGGAGCACACAGTGAAATCCTGTCTCAAAACAAACAAACAACAAAAAGGGGGTTGGAGGGAGAATCACAGGTACTGTTTGTTACTCCTCTCCTACAGTTGGGACCATGCAACCAAACTCTCCACACACTACCTCAATGAGAATGGTGTCACGTTGGCAAACCACGGGAAGCCAGATCCACAAGTGGAGATGAAGTACAAACCTCCAATGGGATTTCAGGTTCAGGACTTGCTGAGTCTTTAAAACAACACTTCCCCCAAAGTCCCGGAGAGGGACATGCATTCTACTAATTGCACAGGTCAGCTTAAAACAGATTTACCCGAGGATTGTGTGCAGGAGATAATCTCTGTCACCCTGGAGGTGATGATGATGGTTGCTGGTGTGCATGGTAACTTCTCTCACTCTCTGTGTACAGACCCAGACTTGTACTTCTAGGGAACCTATACAAACCTGGATCTAGGGGATGAGAGGTCTCGATTCTTCTACGCCTTTTCCGTCCCCTCTCCTTCACCTACACACAGAAGGATTGAGAATATACTCTCCTCCTTGGGGATCTGCCTGATTCTCCATGGAGTCTCAAGGATCCCCTCCAAGATCATTTCCCATCCTTCCTTGGAGCAGACAGAGCCTCACCTGTGGTGACTTATGCTGGTTCAGTCCACCCACAGACTCAACTCCACGGAACTTGCGGAGGACCCGGGATCTGACCCAGCAACACCTCGCTCAGGCTTTAAATCCCAAGTATGTAGACAGTTGTCCCCTCCCCTCAGTCATACCTGTCATTTGATTGGCTGTGCTGTTGACTGGATGAGGCCTCCAGGCACTGGGACTTGAGGCTTTTCCTGAGGGATGACTTCAGCCCGATGCTGTGAATTTGAGCCTGGGCTGCCTCTGTTGACAGCAGCGATCTGAATTTGCTGACCTTGTCAAAGGAAGTTAGATAGCCATCCTGTAGGCCTTAGATCACAGTATATCTGGTATTTAACCTGCAGATCGTGTTTCTTGGAAGAGCCGTGTAGTGGTGTACCCTCACGGTTCCGAACGGGAGGTTTTTGTTACCATCCCTGGCATGGGGTTAGTCAGTGCATTCTATTGTGTGTATATCCTGCTGCTATGGTTGGCTCCTGTGAGAACACCAATCCTGGAATGCTCTTTTTCCCTGTGTCAGAGTGTATCACAGTTGGGTCTCACAAGAATCTTTAGGAGAGAGAGAGACCACCAAAGAAGAAAGTGATATTCAAGGCTGAGCCTTAATAGGAAATAGGAAAGAGTGGGCCGTGAGGGATCTTGTGAAACTTTCTGGTTTCCCTCTTGGTGACTATACTGGACTGCCATCTAGAAGCACCATCTGCCTGTCACTCTTCACTGTGGCAACACAGCCATCAAGTGGAAATTCCTCTATTTACCGTTTTTAGGACACATCCTGGTAGCCTTACGGGTACATACATTGTTTTGCAAACACCAAAAAGATATTCATAAGGGTGGTATATCAACACCTGTTTTACATGTAAAATATTTCACTGTGTGAATGTTTCATTTATACAGTCTTTGGCTGATGTTAATTTGTCATGAATTTAGACTAATACTCATAGTCTCTAGAACACTTGTGCACTTTAATTTTCCTTAATAAACATTATTATTTGTCCATGCTGTCTACAGAACCGGTTAAATCATATGGACAGTTCTTTGAGAAGCAGCCACACTGGTTTCTACCATTCCTATTGTAGTCTGCATTTCTACATAATGACTGAAAATTCATTCAGAATAGGTCTGGCACTTTCATCTATCCATCCATCTATCTATCTGTTTGTCTGTCTGTCTGTCTGTCTATCTATCTATCATCTATCTATCCTCTATGTCTCTAGTTCTCTCATCTAACTTTTCTTGCCAGCTATCATCCTCCCTCCCTCTCTCCTCCATACTTCAATTACGTCATATATTTCCTTACCCAACCCCCCTTTTTTATCTTTGTCCATGTTTCCCTATTTTGTAATAAAGTGTCGAAGCACGCTGTAATTGCAACAGATATGCATCCATGGTGCTAACCCTGAAGGCCAAGAAGCATGCTGAAATGGCATGCATCAATCCCTCAGTTTCTAGCCTGAGTTTCCACTCCTACCGGTGGTTCTTAGCTTTCCTCTCATGCTAGGCACAAGGGAAAATACTATGGTGACTTTCTTCTCAGTTTTATTGTTAAAACTGAGGAAGTAAATGGCATTGATGAGTGAATTTGTTTTTCTAAAACTCTAAAAATGTTTGATAACTCAAATTTCAGGATATTCTTGAAATTCTGTTTTATATTCTTTCTACATTAAACCTATCATCTGTTTTCTTTAAGTAATGCAATACCAATAACCCAACGGATGCAATACTTTTTCAGTATTTCTTACATAAATTATTTCTTTTTACACACACCATTTCTTGATATAGATAACGCCAACACGATTGTTTCTAAGACTGTGGTGATCCCAAGACAAGGGTGGATTCTCATCAGAGACAATAGGAGATGTGAGTTACTGAAGCTGTTGGAACTCTGCATCCCCAAGTCAAACCTAGACACCATCAGACTTTATAAGGCTTTCTGAATAAGTAGCATGTTTACATTAGCACATTGATTACAGGATTGCCCTGGTACAAAACTAAGGAAGGTGCCTGAGTTCTAGATATTACAAAGTAATATAATGTCAAAGATATTCAGAACATCAAATTGTAAAGTTGCTCCTATTCCAACTTCAATACTGTTTTGTTGAAGTCTAATTTCAATGCATGAATATCATTCCAGTGGTAGACAAATCCCAACATATTTAACATGCCCTTGCCCTTACTGATCTACATCTCAGAATATATATGTTTCTTCCTTATAAGCAATAATACAATTAATGTCATTTCCCATGTGTCTCATGATAAAGAAAAAACAGTATAATGAATTAATTTCCAGAAATTGAACTTCCTACAGAAAAATAGATGATGTCAAATCTATTCTTACCTATAGTGATAAAAAATGCCCATTTTCTCAAAATATACACCATATCTTACTTTATAAGCATTGTGAGGCCTAATTTGCTATTGTAATGTTTGCTTAGGATGCGTCTAAATACAAAACTATTTTCCTTACAAATTTAAAGAGGCGTTATTCTCACCATCATGTTTCTCAGCACCTTGATAGTTATTAACAAATTATTCAAACTAAATCAGGAATCTATATTCCAAACACCCCAGATAAATTTATATTAGAATTTACAGCAACTCCATGAAATGAAACTTACAAATCAAGAGTATAACTGGAAACACCATACATTTGCCATCAGTATTAACCAGTCTTCCTGGACACTGTTAATACTACATATTATTTCTTTTGTTGTGAAGGAAATATGAAGTATATGAGACAGTAAAGAACAATTTCATCTCAGGATCATGACAATGGAGTAGAATGGTCTAGATTTGGCCCCAATGCCATCCATCATTCTCTATTGTAGCAAACACTTATAATCATCATACTAAGACCATTTTAAATATGTTGTTTCTATGAGGAACTCTAAATTTTCTGTGACTTATTCCCATGGAATCCTATCCAGAATTAGCCAATTCCCTAAGCTTTAGAGCTATAGTGTCCACTCATATGAAAAGAACAGTGTAAAATGAGAGTTTACATTGGTAAATTCTGTGTAGTTTAATATGCTTGTCAAAAAAGGTCTTTCAGATCCTTACTGGATTCTAAAAATAAACTGATCCTTTCTTGCCATTTTTGTTTGGAAGATCAGGGATTTTCTGCTCCTGGTTCTTATTTGTTTTTATCTATCTATCTATCTATCTATCTATCTATCTATCTATCTATCTATCTATCTATGAGACAGGGTTTCTCTGTGTAGCTTTGGAGCCTGTCCTGGAACTCCCTTTGTAGACCAGGCTGACCTCTGCCTCCCCAGTGATGGGATTAGCAGTGTGTGCCACCACCACCTGGCTGCTTCTGTTTTCTTAACAAGTTACCATTGCAAATCTAATGGTCTGTATTATGGTGTCCATCATGGCTGAGTCCTGGAAACCTTGCTTGGTTGAGTCGGGAATAAAGAAATGACAGGAGCTGAAGAAACAACAGACACTTGTGTAGAAAAATCTGTAACTGGGTGGGCTGTGCTTACTCTGGTGGAAGGAGCCAACTATGTAACCCAGAAAGAAACCCAGTACATTTATTATA